GGGAAGCCAAAGCTGTACTGCAGCTGAGCTCATTAGCCAGCACCCCCCTCCCCACGAGGAGGAGGGCGGGAGGCCCAGTGAGCTTGGCGGCAGAGAAAAGGCTGTCACTGTCCTTTCTTCCTTTTGGTACAAGCGTCTCCCTGAGCCTACGATTCTCCTGCAGTGACACCTCTCACGGGCACTAATGAGATCCATGCCACAGAGCTAATGCATTCTGACTGGACTCTGATAGACACCCCACTCATGTGGGGGAGACCACAGGCTAGTACTTCCCCCCACAGAAGGGCACCCCCTCCCCCTTGCTACCACCTGCCAGCTCAGCTCTTGCCGAACTGCTGGGCAGCAAGCTCCTGAGAGTCCAGTTGGTCTCTGGCCATGCCACCTGTGCCATGGGCTTCAGCAGGACCCTCCCTGGTCTCAGAGCAGAGGGGCTAGGATCACAGGGCAGGACCACCCAGCTGGCTATCAGGGACTGTTGCAGTTATTCTCCCAGTCAGCGGCAACCAGCAGTCTGTGGACTGTCACAATAGCGGTTTTGACTGATATTTGCTGTGCAGATTTCAGAAAGGAAAGAAGGGAAGGAACCCAGGTTTGCTGCAGAGAGCCCAGTATGGAGGACTCAGGCTTTGTGTGTGTGTGTGTGTGTGTGTGTGTGTGTGTGTGTGTGTGTGTGTGTGTACGCGCACGTGCGCTGCTATGTGTATTGCTACAGATTGAACCCAGGGCCTTGCTCATGCTAGGGAAGTGCTCTACCACTGAGTTGCATCCCTAGCCTAAAGGACCCAGTTACTACAAATCTTATCAGGATAATCTTCTGTATACTCCTAATGTGAGGGCCTGGAAGATGAAGATGGGTGGGATTCCCTGGGCCAAGAGGTAGCGAGCAAACTGCAATTAGAGTAAGAACTTCCAGGGCCAGAGGAGGCCAGAGGTCAGCAGGTGCAGTGCCCTGGCTTCAGGGCACAGTGGTTTCAACAGGACTGATGGACGGCAGTACCTGCCTTCCTTTCTTCAGCTGTTGCTGCCCAAGCTTTGTAAAAGCCTATAAGGGTCACGTGACCTTAAGGAAACTAGGGAAAGTGAGCATGCAGGCTGGGCGGAAGAGATTATTTCAGTGGCTGAGGTGCTTTCTCTCAAGCATGAGGATCTGAGTTTGAGTTCCAGAACCCAGATTTTTTTTTTTTTTAAGTTAAAGCAATAACGAAGTTCAACATTAAAAAGCACAGCATTGGCAGGGTACAGGGATTGAGAAGCTAGGCTGTGTCTTTGGTATTTATTTAAGCCTAGCTCCTTAGTTCAACTGGCTGTGGGACCTTAAGCAAGTCATTCAACTGAGCTTCCATTCTCTAAGAAGGGAAAGTGGTGCCTCCCTTCATATGACTGTTATGACAATGAAATCAGTTTATGTAAAACAGTAGGAACACTTTGCTGGCCCTCGGATGAAGTGAAAGTAGCTGTGAGGCCGTCCTATCTTGGAGACAAGCTAACTGATGTTCCTGACAGAGCCACAGAGCCTTGGAAGTTGGCAGATCTACATTTAGCAGCTCTGCCATGTAGCCCTACCTTATACATCAGGCTTCCAAGGCCAAACCCACCTCTACTCTGCTAAAATGTCTTGCTCACAAACCTCCAGAGCCTTTCTGCCCAATGCCCTGGCATCTCTGGACCCTCCCTTAGCCACTCCTCAACTGTCATCTCCTTCAGTCTCCAGCCAAGCTCAAAAGTTTACCTGTAATTTCTGTGGGTACCAGGAACCAAGCCTGAATTTCTACCAATTCACCTGTAGCCCTGTCACAATTCTTGACACAAGCAGATGCAAGGTAAGCAGTTAAACCAAGTTTCCCCTGGTGCTTGCTCCCATTCTCAGTGCTGCCCTGGCTCTCAATGACCTTTTTGTGCCTTTTTTTTTTGGCCTCCCTGCCCCGCAGACTCTCCATCAGTCCTTTCCACACAAACCAGCAGACCACTCTCAAAGCTCTAGTCAGACCAAGTCCCTCCCCTCAAACACCTCAGGATACACAACTTCACTGGCCTTCCTTCCACCCACCCTCTCTCCCCGTCCTCTTCCTACAACACCACCCCTCTAGCAAGACTGCCTCCTTGTACTCTGAGCAACTCCCCATCATCAATGTCATATCATCATGGCACTGTGGAAGAACCAATCAGAGCCTGGAGATGGCTAAGTGGTGGGATCTGCACAATTCTTGTCCAGCATCACCCAATGCTGCTGCACCCCCACTCAACAATATACATACCATTCCCGACTCCAGCCTGGCAGCTCCTCACACAGTTAATTAGCACCATGTCACTGAGGACCAGCCTGAGTGGCCAGTGACAGGAGCTGACCCCTGACCCCAGGGCTGGGAAGCAGTCCACATCAAACTCTTACAGCGCGACCCTTTTAGCACGCACAGTAACTCGGGGCACCGCCAGCTGAAGCTCATTAAAGCTGTCTCTTTGGTGCGAGGGCCATTAACCTCACTGCTCAAAACCCACAGCTCCCCTCCCTGCTTCTCCCAGCCCAATTAATGCCCTCTATCCACCCTCCCTTCCAAACACCCTCACCCACACCTCAGAGCTAGCCAGGAGCTGGCAGGGCTGCCCTCCTCATTCAGACTGCTGAGACCAAGTGCCAAGAAGGGCCAGTGCCCTGGCAGCCTCTGACATTGGCAAAGCCACAGAGAGGGAGCTTCCTGAGCATCTACCTTGAGATGGGCCTTACACAGGCCTTTCCCTGGGCTGCTCATTGGCTCCTCCCACTGCCCCAGGAGGCTGGCAGCACTGCCCCTCAGCTGAGGTCTCAGGGTTCTGCACAGTAAAGTTAGAACTATTTCTGGCTTCATTGTTACTCAGAGCCGTGGGCTTCCCCCTGGGCCAGAGAGAAGAAAAAGTGTTCTTCTTTAAAGGAAAGGCCACCTCAGGAGTCCTAACCCAGGAGAAGACAGGGGAGGGATCACTGAGCCTCGAGAGGCAACAAAGAGTGGCGAGAGGGAGTTGTTCCCCTCACAGATATACCCTAGTTCAGACATACAGAAGCAGGACATTTGGCTCAAGGCTGTGGAGGATGCCTTCCCATAGTTCTGTTGTTCCGACCACCCACCCATCAGACTCCACTGCTGCTAGCCCTCTTGAACGAATGCAAGCCTTCTCAATGGTCCTATCTCGAACTTAGCCTCTCCCTTTCCCATCAGTCTTCCACTGACTCATTTACTTGCCAGCTTTTCATCCACCATCCGCAAGATTTTACTGAGCAGCTACTAAGAGCGCAACACCAACTGCTGCACTAACCCTGAATCAGAGCTCTGGTCATAGCATTCTTTGATCTTCCAACACCCCCTCTAGACCGTATTTCCAGAGAGGGAAGAATCGCCTTTTAACCCAGCACTCAAGGCTCTGCCTCTAGCAGTTTACTGAACTTTCTATTCTAGTCTTAGGAAACCACTTGCAGATGTCTAAACTTATCTTCTTAATATGCTTTCAGGTCTTCAGGCTTTCTTTGTACACACATTTTCCCTACCTAAATACTACTTCTTTGTTTTTCTACCTAGAAAATGTATTTATCCTTCAAGGATCCCAACTCAAGTGTTTTTATCTAGTAAATTTCCTGCTGATCCCTCAAGATTTATTGCAGGAAAGAACAGCAGTTATGGCAGGGTGTCCCAGAGCCCCAGGCTTCCTTCTCTCCCTGGTTCCTAAGCCTGATAAAGGGCATCCCAGGAATCACTACAATGGAGATGAAGTAGAAGCTACCTTGGCAACTGAGAACAGGGAAACTTCCCTGGTGGCAATCCAGATGTTTCTACCACAACAGGCAAGTACGCATTCCAGGCTCTATCCCTTCTCAGCATGCTCAGCACCCACTGGGCATTGATAGATGTGAAATGGGTAGAGGGGCTAATTTGTAGCAAGTGGCTGGGACCTTCTACCATTCTGATGTCCTAGCCCCTACAAATGACACCTTGTCAAAAGTAATCAAGTTCTAATAAGGTCATAATGCCACCCAGCATCAATCTGGCTCCATCCCCTAGAACAATGCCTAGAGCTGGTCATCTGTGTTCCTTGGAAGCGTCTTCACACACACACACACACACACACACACACACACACACACACAAAGAGACACAGGAAGAGACTTTCTTCTACAGATACACACACACAGATGGGTAGCTGTTTCCATAATCAGTCGCATGCCCTCAAATAAACATGGATGTATTGTTAGGCAGACACCTTCTTCTAACAGACATGTTCAAGGAATGGACACTTTATACTCAGACACACAGATATACAGGCAAGATGTCATACATAGACACATATTCACACTGATGCAGCGAAGCTCACAGAGCCACTAACTGGCCACTAACTATGTGGAATTGCAGCCACTCCAGTTTCTCCCAAGCAGAAATCCCCGAGTGTTACCCCACCTGTTACCCCAAGTGGCCCCTCCCAACCCAGGCACTCCTCAGTGGAGGCTGCTGCTCCTGCAGGGGAGTCAATACCCTGTGGACGAAGTCATCGGTCAGAAGGACCTAGACTAATTAAAAGCTGGTGAGGTTTAAATAATTCATCTCCTTAACTCCCATTGATCGTCCAGTTTAGTGGCCACAGACTTGAAACAATATTAAACAGCCTCCTCCAGCTCCACGGGGGGTGGGGTGGAGGGGTGGGTAAGCTGACATATGCCCATATCCCTGAAGACACTGCCCACTAGGGATGCAGGCAATGGGGACAAGGGACAGTACTTTGAATCTAAGGCCACCTGTGACTTACCCAAAGCCTGTATTCCAGTCTCCTCTGAAATGTTTTGAGAAATGCTTTCCAATTGCCCCAATCCATAATATCCTCAATCTACCCTCCCTACCCTCCTCCCTCCAGCCAATGGTGAGAACCTTCCATAGGGTTGGATACTGAATGAGACATGGAAACCCTCTGTTTGCCAGGGCACTGAGGCATGCGGGCAGGGGACTGACAGAGCTGCCAGGGGGATTTGTGGAGGGACTGACCAATGCCGCTGTGGGGCCGGCCTATGTGTTGCAGGCTGAGACCCTTGTTCATGTCTAGTAGTCCATTCTTGGGCCAGCAGCCCATGGCGAAGCTGTAAGCCTGGAAGACAGGAGGCAAGAGTTGTTAACGGAGGTCTTGACCACTGAGCAAACCCCACTCACCAAGTCTCCCCCAGTCCCCACTTCTTCCCTTCAGGTACTTGTAATACCACCTCATTAGAGTCCCTCACCACATTCCCTTTCACCAAGGCTCTCCCCACCATAAAAATCCCTTCCTTCTCCAAAGTCATCCTTCTCCTGGGCCTTCCCATTCAGCATCTGCCATCCTTCCTGGGAGTCCCTTGCAGGGCCCTTCTCTAGAAGTCTGGCTTGTAAGGTCCTCCCCTCATCAGAGCATCCCTTCACCATGCACCCCTGCACAGATTCCCATCCTGGAACACCACAGCTGTGCTGGGCTCCCTCCCTTGGTATGACTGGTCACAAAGACTGTTCTCAGGACGCAGGAAATTAGTATTTCCAAATTTCATTCCACAAACAGGAAAAATGAAACAGGAACTAGCCAGTAACATGCTTATGGTCAAGTTGCTTTTGATTCTGCACAGGCAAGGCTGTGGAAGGTTGTGAGTGCTGTGTTAGAGCTCAATGAAAGGGGAGTAAGGTCACCAGGTCAACTCAAGCATCAGTGAGGGAAGTACAGGGTGGTGTGTGTGTGTGTGTGTGTGTGTGTGTGTGTGTGTGTGTGTGTGTGTGTTCTGCTGAAGGTCAAGTGCTCACTTATGCATATTCAAAGCGGCCACCCATTGATCTGTACTTAATTGTTTTCCTGGGGTTGGGGAAGGAAGTGCTGGGGGCATCGATCTGTTCAGGGGCCCCGCAGCTCCACTGCTCCCTCCAGCCTCTATCGCACCATCTGGCCTCTAGCAACTTCCATCTGTGGGGAACACATGGCAGGACAGGATCTGCCTTCCCTCACTGGGGACAGGACCAGCAGCATCTTTCCTCACTGGCATGACAGGCCTAATGTCACTGATGAGGAAACTGAGGCCCAGAAGAAAGTGACTTTGAGTTATGTGGGTTAGACCTCTACAATGTGGCTAAGGAGGATTTCTTTCTTCTTAGTTTGCCAAAAAAGTCCTGGGCTTCTGCCAGCAGGCCTGAAGTCAAACTAAACATTTAACTATCCCTATCCCTTCACTTCAGAAGTCACTAAGCACTAAGCTGACCTTCTTCTAATGGCAGGAAGGTGACAGCATGTGGGACAGTGGCAACAGGGATGAAACCTGGGTGAGCTGGATCGGGTGAGAGAACCCAAATGTGCTAGCCATACTTAGATAAGCATTGCAGTGCCCACCTACTTCTGTGCCCAGCAGCTCCCACAGGGGAGAAGACCCAGCCCAGGGCCAGAAACAAGACGTCTCTGTGTGTGGGGGGGGGGTGGGGGGAGAGTATCTGTCAGTATGTATCTGTGCCAGGGCCCAGGGGCTAGGCAGGCAGAGGGCCAGTTTCTCTCCTTTCCAGCTTCAGGAACCCAGCCCATAGGCACTAGGAGACTAGGAGCCAATGCAATTTAAAGCTCAGCACTTCCCAAAGCCATTTTCCTTGACCACAGAGGGGGCAGCCAAAGCTCAACTCCAGCCAACCCTTCTCTACCTTCTCCCAGGTCACAGCTACAGCCGCAAATCGGAGGTGGAGTGTGGGACTCAAGGATGGGTTGGGAGAGAGCATGCTGGCAGAGCCAGGATGGGCAACAAGGGATGCACGCAGCAAAAAGATGCAGACGGAGAGGGGACAGAGTCAGTAGGTGGGCACAGCCGGGGGAACTGCTGAGCATGGCCAGCTGAGGCTGCAGTGCAGTGGGCCAGAGAGCAGTGGCGGCTGCCTTTCAAGTACTTTAAAATCACTTACAAAGGCCGGATTAAACGATCAGAAATTCCATTTAATAGGACAAATAAAGAAATAACAATCTACTCTATCAGCCTGGAGAAGGCGAGCTGGATGGGTTTTTTTCCCCCCTTGAAAAAGGAAAAAGGGAAGGAAGGGGGAAAAAAGAAGGATAATGTGTGTTTACTCAAGCAAAGAAAAAAATATTTAAGTGATGTCGGGGAGAAGATTGCAGTAACTAGTGAAGAATAACATCGTCTACTTTGCTGTCAAATCACACCCGAATTTCAGTAATAGATTCTCGGCTGACACTCAATTCAATTCGAAGGTGATCCTGCTTTATCCCAGCCCATCAAATATTAAACACTTGCATTAGCAGGTGCTGCCGCTTCCCGGCTTAAAGCGGCGGGCGGCAGGGCTGTGGCAGCCCCTCTACTCTGCTTGTGGCTCGGGGACAGGGCATCTTAACGTTATCTGCACGTCATCCCGAGCCTTATCTCAGCTAAGCGGGAAGACCACTTCAGATAACACTAGATGCTTGCCCCATACGTCACCATGATTAGATTATTACTGTAATTATGACTCCCCAAGATCTTCCCAGGCTAGGATGTGTAGAAGGGGGATGGAGAGCCAGGCTGGACCAGGGCAAGCGGGAGCCCCAGGCGGGAAAGAAGTAGCAGGCAAGGTGCAGCCTGGTCCCGCCTGACGGATGCCTTTCAGAAAGGGCAGTGTAGCTTGTCAGAGCAAGGGTGAGATGGATTGGCGTCTCCACTGTGGCTGTGGTGTCATGCTGCACAGTTTCACAGTACTAGATAAGGCATGCTAACCAATATTGCTGAGACACGGCCTCATCCAGCACTTCCTCAGGGGGTATGGGCCAGGAGGAGGGGGTGGCATGTGCACATGGGTCTGCCAAGCTCCTAATAAGAGGGATTTAATTTTTACAAATGCTGCTTCCAGCGGGGCCTTCACATACCAGCCAAAGTCCAAAATGATATTAAAAACGGTTAATTAAAACTGCTCTCCTTCAGCCTGGGATTCCTCCTGCTGCCCCTGCTGAGAACACTGGCACATCTCCCCCAGAGCTTAACCTTCTGACATGGCTACCAGTCTCACAGAAGCAGGCTAGGCACAGTACTTCAACACTTGCCCCTCCCCCCCACAAAACACACACACACACACACACACACACACACACACACACACACACACACACACAAACAAAAACCCCCAACCTCTGTCATTTTGGAATTTCTCAGGCACAGCTAGCAGTCACAGTCACAGGCAACACAGAGACACAAGAGGCTCTCAGAGCAATGCAACCTGTGTTCCCATCACTGGGTACTCTGGAAGTCACATCTGCATACCTGGGTATGCCCTTTGGAAGCCTCCCATCCTGGGCAATATATATCAGGGAGTGGCTGACTATGTAGGTGCTCACATGCCTCAGCCCCTCCCTCCAGTGACTGCCCATCCTGCTATCCTCCTAAAGAGACTGCATCTGTAAACAACCTTAGCAGAGCTCTTCCAGGAGTCTCGCTCAGGCCAAGGTGTACAAGTTATATTGTACACAAGGATTCTGACTGGAAGGTCAAGGCTGCCACCTGGCAATCAGTCAGAGCAGGAGGCTGAGCCCTGTGTGAGGCTGGAGGAGGCTAGGAAAGCCTCCTGGAGGAGTGTTACTGGAAGGCTTGAGTATAGCCAATAGGGAGCACTTAAGTCCAGACAGAAGATGTAGCCAAGACAAAAGAGAATGGAAGGAGTGGGGAGAGATTTCCTCTTCTTGCTCCCTTCCTTCAACCTGTGGGGAAGGGGCAAGGGCTTAGAGGCTTCCTAATCTTGATCAGTGTGGGATAGGAATCTGTTTTAAGAGCTCACTTCAAGCCCTTGTACATGAGCCGTTTACCAACGGTCGATGCTTCCCCATGGCACCTCTCCGCCATCAAGGCCCACCTGCCCAGATGTGCAGTTAGCACGTAACTCTTGGGGTCCCCAGCCAGAGGGTGGAGGAGGTAGGAGGATGACTACTAAGGAGAGGAAGATGACTTCTAAGTTCTGTCCATGACAGTCACTCAATGCTGAGCCAGGAGGACAGGTGGAGTTGGATTGAAAGATGCTGTACCCACTGAACCAACCCACCCTACCCTGTCAGGCAGGCACGCACACTTCCCTTCCCCTGGGCCGCTGTAATTTCCATGCGCAGGGAAGCAGGTGCCGAGCTGCTCCCGGCTGGCTTTCCCCTCTTGTGGCTCTGCCCGCCTTGGCTGCTGCCCCATTAGCTTAGTGGCCAGCCATCTGCGACGGGCCTGCTGCACAGCCCTGCTGTAGGCGCGGCGGGTGGCCCCCTGTGTAACAGGGAGCTTTGCCATTAGCGCCTTTAATATTCTGACACCTCAGCACAGCCTGCTATTACATGCAAACGCTGATCGCCCTGTGAAATTACATTGCTGGGCCCGCGAAATGGAATCGTGTATAATCAGCCTCCTCCATGCACTGTCAGTCCCATCACAAACACGGCGCCCGGCGGCTTACGGGGGCTTAGCAGCTGCGACAAGTGTATTGGGTTTAATAGATGAAGTAGCCCTCAACGACAGCAGCATCAGATCCTTCAAACAGGAGAGAAGAGGCATCAACAGCTGCTCTGGTGTCCCTGCCCACCCATACACTACCTGACAGCGGGTGGACAGGGCAGGAAGGGGGCTGGGTAAAAGGCTAGAACCTAGCTCAGACTGCAGACAAAAGTAGACTACTCAGTAACTTCCAGAACACCACAGACCAACATATCGGCTCTCTGCTGACAAGGCCTTCTGGATGACTTGTCACCCTGCAGAGCCAAGACTGGTGAGCCCTTTCCCAAGACTAGAGACCAAATCCAGCCTGTCGCTGTCTTAATGCCTACCAGAGAGGAAGGTGAAGGTGCCATTCTTTAGTGTGGGAGTTGGACAGATGCAAACACTACCTAAATATCAACATGTCTTCTTTATTTGAGGCCTAAGAGATTGAAACCGGAGCCACTGAAACAGAAAACATGCATGCTAGTCAGGTATTCTACCACTGTGATACATTGCTGGCCTTAACCAGCACTCAGCCAGTGAGCTGAGTATCCAGGCCACACACAAACACAGACTGGGTATGTGCCATGTGTGCTTAGCCATATCCAGCAGCCCATGTCTTGCAGAAAGGCAGTGCATTCTGGGCTCAAATCTGCACTCAACTCCT